AGAAGAAGAAGAAGAAGAAGAAGAAGAAGAAGAAGAAGAAGAAGAAGAAGAAGAAGAAGAAGAAGAAGAAGAAGAAGAAGAAGAAGAAGAAGAAGAAGAACACTTGTCTCCGGTATCCCGTGGAAACTAAGCCAGGAGAGTGGAAAAGAGGGAGAAAACATGAATAGCTCTCTGAGAAAAAAAAAAGGATCACATTTTTTTCTTTTCTAATGCTCTCATCCATTCCACAACACACCCCGATTAGTGAATGAATTATGTGGAAAATGTGGATTTGGGGTTGGAGAAAAATAAGAAGAAGAAGACGTTGATGAGATGGAGACTAGAAAAAAGAAGACTGGAAAAAAAGTGATAAGATATTTAGAGTTAGGGGATAAGGAAATAGGAAATAGGAGAGTGGATTTGTAGGGAGGAAGTATAATTTTGGATGCTAGTTTTGGATTTTTGGAAGAAAAAAAATTTTTGGAATCCAGAAATCAAAATTCAGAATTCAGGATTCAAGATTCAGGATTCAGAACCCAGTATCCAGAATCTAGAATCAAGAATTCCAGTATCGGAATAATCGAATTTTGGATTTCTGAAAGCATTTTAAAATCTTTTTTAGGTTTTCCAGATATTTCGTATTATTTTCATCTTTGGAGATTTTGGAGTTTTCCGGAGTTTTCGATTTTTGGGGTCTTTTTTGGATATGTGGAATTGATACTATTCTTGGATTCTGAAATTCTAATATTCTAATAGTAAGATTTTGAGATTTTAAGATTCTAAGGAATTCCATAAATTGAATTTTGGATTTCTAAGAAAATCTAAGATTTTGGAATGCTAAGGTTTCCAGATTCTGAAATTCAAAAAGTGTAAGATTTACAGAATCTCTGAATTTCAGAATTTCAAAATCTTGGGATCTTCTACATTTCAGAATCTCGGTTTAACGAATTATTTAGAATTCCATGTCTTAAAATCTGGAAATCGAGAAATCTCATATTAGAGTTTTCATCATTTTCAAAAAAAAAAACAGAAAAATCCAAAAAATAAACCCACCAGTATTTTTCTCAAAAACATCGGCAATTTTAGTTTCATAATATTTGAATTTGAAATATCTCAAATTTTCAGTCAATAGTTTCCAGCCAAAAAGACACTGAAACAAGTAGTCACAGAAGACGCTTTCAGATTTACGTAATATGGGAATTTGTAGTTTGGAAAAATTCAAAATGTCGTGAGAAAAATAGTCAAAGATCAGAGAATCTGGATTTTAAGAAAAAAATTTCAGATATTTTTTGTATTTCAAAAATTCCAATAATTTTTTTGTCGAAACTTTAAAAAATTAACAAAAACTTTTTCCGAAGATTCAAACTCACCCTATAAGCTCCTAAATCGATTCTCAAGCTGTTGTGCAGTTGGTCCAACAGCTTCACAAATCGCTCTTTTCCGAAATTCGAAGCGGCAAATCGGTCAGGAGCCGAGACTGCCGACGTGGCAGTCGTATGGGCGTAATAGCTGAAAAACTAAGTATACCTTCTTCAAAATAAGCAATTCAATTTTATTGATAATCTAGATAGTTTGGGTTCATCTCGAGCTTCGAAATGACTATAAATTTGAGTACTACAGTAGTCTTTAAAGGCGCATAGCCCTCTTTTTTTTGCTCACCTCATATTTTTTCAGGTAGAAGTTAAGAAAATGAGGTAGATTTCTAGAAGACGCCAAGTCTTCAAGTCTTAGGAACAATGAAAATGAAGACGACTATACAAAAAATTATATATTTTTTAAATGTGTGTCTAGCAGATTAAGCTCTCTTCCGAATGCCAAAAAGAAAAAGAGCCTATTTCTAAAAATAAGAAGACGTCACCTCTTCTGTATGGTGTAGTAGAAGGTGTCAAGTTTCAAAAAAAAGAAAACTTACGCATTTATATTGGCAAGAAGTGTTGACAAAACGGCTGGTACACCTGAGCACATGTACTTGGTACAAAGGCACGCGAAATGGGTCATCGCCTGGAATAGATGAGATGATATCATTTATAGTTATTCAATTTTCTTGAACTTTCGAAGCTTCACATTTTATTGGAGCTTTCAATTATAGTTTTAAGTAACTTTGAATCAATCTATCCTGTGTCTGTTGAAGTTATCGAAAAAAGATTCTCAGACGAAATGTTCATGATAAACATTTTGTCAGTCAACCACTTTTTGATATCTTCCACAGGAACCGAGATAAATTGGCTTAGTTCAGTTAGGGGATATTCTATTAATTTACTGTGATCCTGGATTTATAAGTTTTTGAAGGTCCTTTTGAAGTAAAATTCTTTGAAAAAACAAGAAATCCGAATTTTCTACAAACTGTTTTCTAGAGCCCACTCACCTGATAGATACTCTCAATACCATATCGCATCGAAAACTCATCAGCAATCTCTTGTCCAGTTTCCTGGAAGCACACCTTCCAACTGTCCTCCCCCTTGACTTTCGGCAATTTGACCTCATCATCAACACAGTGTGCCGCGAACAGATGTTCATGCAGACAGGTATACTGTACATGATACGGTGCCACTTTCTCCTCTCCCTTGATCTCAACGCTAATGTGAAGACGAATAGCACCGGAAACCGCTGATTTGTCGGTACGCTTCTCGAGGTTATACCACACATCCATTTCTCCGGACAACGTTCTGACCTCAATTACAGTTTGTCCCAAGAAGTCGTCAGATTCCCTGGTTAATTTCTGACGGAGTTTCGATTTCAAATCGTTATCCTCATCCCACACACGAACTTTGATGCGGTCCGTCGAGTTGTGACATTCACTGAAAAACATATTGGGTGGTGGACATTACTCATATTTCACGGGTTGGAGGTCCATAGGGACCTGTGTGACCCGAAAAAAGAAAAACTCACAAGTGAAACTTCTCGTTCCAGACCGGATTCAACTCTTGATGGATGGTTCGTGTGCGTCGTTTCGTTTTGCCCACTTGTGCCGTCACGTACGGATCACTTTTGCCGGTTTTGTCCTTGGCGATGAGCCCTTGAGCGCAGAGCACTGAAAATGGACTTCTTGAGTACATGGGCTAGAGTGAATTGATACAAGAAATGTCCAAAGTTCGTAAATCTACATTAGTCTACCACCAGCTTCATCGATCATAAAAGCGGTCCCAACATGACTACCATGGTACCATCCCCCGACAGTGTAATTCTACATAAGGCGAAAAAAAAATCTAAAATCTTATAAATCCCGAAACTCACCGGTCAACGTAATCTTCGCACTCCACTTGCTGCTTCCCTCCAAAATCGACTCCTTGACACTCTTCAACGTCTGCTTCTGCATATTCTCCTCCACATCGAAGATGTTGCGAATCATGGCGAAAATCTCTGGCTTATTCTGTTCCTGGATTATCATCCGATCCCTGATAACGTTTACCAAAGACTGCGTTCGGTCCGCTTCACCGTGCTTCGACGACTTCTCGGCGGCTCTCTGCAGACAGTCGGCACTCAAAAGTTCTCGACACTTTCGTGAACTTTCACCTGACACTGTGTGCATCTGAGCCCCTGACGTGCCAATCCCCACAGCAGTCCCTCACATTCGTAACAGAATGTGGGGGTCTGGAATGTGGTAGTTGCAAAGTTATGGGGGGTCGTCGCCGATATGGGGTAGATAAGCGCTTGAAGGGTCTTCTTGTACACGTGGGATTTCTGGAAAATGGAGGGAGTTGAAGTTGTGAAGTGATCGATTGGGCCTTTTTTGTTTCAAAATATCCGGCTTATTATTTTTTATAAACTTTCTTTGAGGTTTTCTTTTCCAAGGACTGGGAAAAATGGCCTAGGATTGCGATGATATTTCTCAGACTATTTTACAAGCCAAGTGTCTTCGGAGTGTGCGAAAACCCAAAAAAGTGAGAAAATTTGGAATAAATTCCCAAAACGTCCGAAGACCCGAAAAAAAATCTCAAAATTGAAAAAAAAAACGCAGAGTTTTAGAATGGCTTAATCGGAAATTCTGAATTTCTACAATTCTGAAGTTTTGAAGATCGTAATAACAACAATAAAAAAACACCAAAAAATTGAATCCATGGTTTTTTTTTAAATTTAAAATTTTCAAGGTTTTGAAAAATTCATATTTTCGTTTCCGTGCATTTTTCATCTTCATAGCCCATCGAGGAGCCGAGATACAATCATTCAAACTTCAGGTGGTCAGAGGCGCCGTGCGTCTCGTCGCCTGTGTCTCTAGCTTCCAAATTTTCAAATGCCTGTATCACCGCTTCTGGAAGAGAGTTGAAAATTGCACAGACATGTGTGAAATTTCAAGTAGAATGTTTTGAAATTAAAATCGGAATTTCAGAATTAAAAATATCTGGAAAAAACCTTTAAAAAAAACCCTAAAAAATTGAACCCAAATTTCCAAATTTTGTCCCCAGCTCTTACCAATTCCGTGTCCGCGAACGTTGTTTTAGCTGCATTCGCCAATCCAGCTTGGGCTCGTTTTGTGGCCATCGTCTGAAAATGTTCAATTCCCCATTAGTTTCGGTACCCCAACATGCTAAGCGGTTTTTCATTTTCTTTTTCATCATGCAATTATCAATTTTCACATAGCAAAAGCGTTCGATTCAATTTGTGAAGTCGCTCTCTTGGCAAGATAATCAGGGTTATCAGTAGAGCGCGTTTTCACAATTAATCGTTTTTTTGAATCTTTGAAACATGTTAAAAGCAACCAAGGTGGGGCAGAAATTGGGGAAGAGAAGCGGTAGAGAGAAATCAGCCTTCTTAAATTTTCGATTATTTTCGATTCATGCAAATAAGGAAAAGAACTCAAAAAAGCTAAGAAAAAAGACGGTTTCTCTATGTAAAGATGCGTTAAAAATTGAACTTAAAAAGCTAGCGATTTTTTTCCTAGCGATTTTTTGGAAAAGTTGGAAAACTGAAAAATAGCGGAGCCGAAAATTCTAAATGCAAAAAGAAATGTTGCGGACGTTTTTTTACCGGTGTTCTGGGTAGAATGTGTGTGGGATGTGGATGGTCTTACCTTTAGAACCTGAAATTGTGGAAAAATGCATTATAGTAATCCATTTTTCAAAATTAAAGAGGGGGTGGGGGGACATCTGTGAATAAAAAGGGGGTAAGAAGGAGGATAAATGGTGTTCCACACGTTTTTGGGTACAGTACCAGGTGGCCTAGGTTTTGAGTTTTATATTTGACATGCTTAGGAATTGCAAGGTAGCCTAGGTTATCAAAATAGCCTAAGATTCCAGATGGTGGCCTAGAATATTCGAAATAGCCTAGTTCAACTTTGAGACAAATTATCTCGGTCCTTGCAAGAGCTATCAAAAAGTTATTAATTAACAAAATATTTATGATATTATGGTAAACATTTTATCAGTTGACCACTTTTAAATATCTCTCCCCGAAAATGACATCTAAGCTCGAAGTTGACAGTTCGGAAGCATTCTATTAGAGTTTACGGTGGCCTAACTTATTCTATAGTGGCCTAGTTTCCATTAGTTCTACTTTTCAGTTTTTTGGCACTGTACCCAGCTTTGTTTCTTTCAATGTCTAGTTTTTTTACTTGGTCAGAATCTTAAAAATACAAAATTGTTAATCAGATCACAAAGTTGTAGAAGTTGACAAAAAAGTGCACAAATTTCAAGTACATCAATCGTATTAGAAGTTCTATGTATTATTTTTAATAAAAGTTTATCGAAAAAATTCTAAGAACTTACGAGTTCGGAAACCAGTGGGATACTGGTTTTGTTGCGTGCCACATTCATGTTGGGAGCCGCATCGATGGACTTGTAGAAGGCGTTCGCGGCGGAGCATCCGTCGCCGTCGAGTACTGTGCTCTGAAAATTTTGTGATTTGTAGAATGTTCAAACTTTTAAGAGCTACATTTTCTTAGTTTGTTAATTTCTAGTAGATAATTTGGCTTTTGAGATATTCGCGTTTGAAGTGAGGAAGCCCTTTTATCGTAACACCTGTAATGGAAGAGCCCCTGAACTTTCAAATTTGAACCAACTTATCTCGATTCCTGTGAAAGATACAAAAATTTGTCACATGATAAAATAACTGATATTATGATCAACAATTTATCAGTTAACCTTTTGTGGATATATTTTACAGGAATCGAGATATATGAGCTCAAAAATAGGAGGAGTCCCCTCTATCACAGGTTTTACGGTATCTCGAAAACCATTGAAGCTACACTACTGATTTTTATAAATTTTCTTTCTCAATATACTTGAAGTATGTTTCTACACCCATCAGAGCCACACCTTCTTTCCTCGATCTTTATAAACATCCAACAATTGTTTCTTCTTGTTATGCGCCGCTTTGGAATCCGATTCACATCGTGCCGCTGGTATCTTCACTCGCACTGATTTCACAGGTTTCTGAGGCACCAATTTCTTGGGAACCCGTAGAAACGTCAAACTTTTACTTCGCATTTGTACTGGTACCCTCTCACATTTCCATAAATTCGGACAACTTCTAGACCTCTTTATTTTCACCCGCTTCCTTTTCCTTCGCCGTGGCACTGCTGAGCGAGCGCGTCGCACTTTTTTGAAGGACTTTGAAAATGTTAAAAGTTGTCTCATTGGGTCAGAAGAGGAAGACGTTGGGGGTCTCGGTGGAAGTGAAGTCTCTACTCGTCGATTAATACCGGATGATGTCGTTTTAGAAGTTGTGATACTCGTACGTTTCTTGTTTAACTGGATAACATCGTTTGAAGCCGCATAGGAGATTGATTTGTGTACTTGGGGAGGTCCGGCACTGGTCGATGGGAATTCCTTTCCAAAGAAGATGTTGGATTCTTGAAAATCTGGCTCTGGAGACGCCCTAGCTGGTTTTGTCTTTGCCTTCGTTTTCCAATCCTTTGGCTCTTCTGGTGGTGGCATCACTTTTTCCAGGTACACCCTTGCCAAACTAGTTGTATAGATCCTCTCCCTTCCTCCATTTCTGTCTTCATACGTTTCTTGGATCCTATACGCACTTCGTTTGATAGGAGGATTCGGTGACACGGGGGATGGTGGGCTATCGTTGTACTGATAAATGCCCGGTGAGCTAGGAACCACTAGACTCGGCGGAACCATTGATGACGTGGATGGTGTCCGAGAGGGATCCGTGGTCATGGCATCGTTAGATGGTGGTGGTGTACAGTTGGAGAGAAACGAGTCCGTCGTTTTTGACACATTGTTGTTGATGCTGTTGGAATAGATTCTTGGGGTGCCCATTGGTGGTGGTAAGGGTGGTGTGGCATTGGCACCGTGGCCCCCAGCCGGCGCCAGCTTCGGCCGGTACAGAAACAAATTTTGCAACAACGTTTATTGAGAGACACACACCCCAAGGCTTGTGATGGTGCTAGAAAGAATAATTTGGGTTACGGTATTGAAAGAGGTTACGGAGTTCAGAGAGATTACAATATTCGTATACGATTTGGGTTACGGTATTCAAGAGATAATTTTAAAAGAAGATCGTCTGGAATTAGTCTAGTGACAACTTGGGTTACGATATCCTCAGAGGAGGAGAGGATAAAGAAAAAGGATGTTTTTCAATGTGTTAAAAATTGTTAACTAGCAAAATGTGCGTACGAGATACAAAGAGACGCAGAGAAACCAGACAGTTCGATTCTTCAGCGCCATGAAAACTTTCAAGCCGTGTAGCTCGATTGAGAGAGGAAATAGAGGAAAACTGTTCACTAACGAAATGCGTAAAATTTCGAACGCTATAACTTCATTTATGAATTGAATTAGTTCAATGAGGTAATGCTACGAAGAGGCGATTTGTTTCTTCAGCGCGAGCGCATAAAATATTTCAAGCCGTGTACCTTGTTCGAGAGAGTAGGCGGTAAAACTGTTAACTGAATAAATGTGTGCATTTTTATAGACTACAATTTGATCTACACATTTACAAAGTTCGGAAATTGAAAAAAACGGCGAAAACAAGACTTTAATAGACCATCTCATTGAAATTGATCCCAAAATTTTCGAATATTTGCTTTCTATGACTAACTGCTAAAACCTCAAAGTTCAAGTATCTCATTTTGTTTTTTTTTTACTATATTTTCTCTTTCAAAGTGCCAAAACCAAAAACAAAAAGGAGAAAAAAACCAACAGGGCCCAAAAAGGGACCCACGGAGACTTCAAAAATTCGTTAAAAGCTTTCAAAAGTCTCCAATTTCATTTGGTCTTCTTCTTCATCTTTCTCTTCTGATGCTCTCCACGTCTTCTTTGACTCTTCATCATCACAAAAAAAAAATGAAGTGCATTTTGAAATTCGACAATTCTCAGTGAGAAAATTCTTGAAAAATGAATTTCTTTCAGTTCAGACGACGTCGAACCAAGGAACAGAAGACTTTATATGTGACATTGAAAACTAGAAAAACCAGAAGAAAAAAAAAAGAAAAAGAAGCCGTTAGTGTTCTCCTGGGGATTTTCGAAAAATCAAAAAAATTTTTCTACGGCTTCTTACTAGGTCAAGTAACATGTGACGTGGCACTTTTTTGGCGGGAAAAGAACCCATGTGACGATCTAGAGGGGTATTATATAGAAAAAAAGGGTTCAAGAATAATTTATAAATTTGGGAAGGGACTCAAAAGAGATGAACTAGTCAATGAAAGGAGGACGGGGTCCCTAGGAATCATTTTATGAGAGCTAAAATTTTCAAATTTTCAATGAGCAATAAAATTTGATGAAAAATGTCGTGTAGAAAATGGTGTAAAATACGCAAGAAGAGTGAAATTTTGAATTTTTTGAAACTCCAATATTGCTAAAAACAAAACTCCAGCTCTTCTGGAGGGCGGATGACGTCAAAAAAAAAGAAGAGACAGTGGAGAACAACTTGTAGTGCTTAGCCCCACTTTTCTGGGGCTCAGCTCAGCTGGTGTGACCTAGATCGTAAACTAGTCGGCTCGACAGGAAACAAAATAAATGTAGGAGGATTTTCAGGGAATTTCAGATTTTGGAAACCTCGTGACCTGGAGATGACACCAAAAATGGCTTTTTTTCAGTGAAATATGTTTAGTCAATTTCGAGCCACTAAAAAGGAGTCTAGAATTTTTCGATATGTCTAAAAATTCCAAATTATACTAAACAAAAATAGAGCTTCAATTTTTCAATTGACAACTTTGTTGTGCAAACACGCCCTGATGAGATATAGCGCATAGAAACTTCGCAGATCTGTACTATGGGGAGGCACTTTCAAGTAGCATATCTCGTTAGAGCGTGTTTGCACAAAAAGTTGTCAATCACAAAAATGAAGCTCTATTTTTGTTTAGTTAGCTCTGAATTTTTCCGACAAATCAAAAAATTCTGGAATTGTTTTTCTGGACTCCAAAATTTTTTTTTTTTGCTGAACAAGTAGATTTTTTCAGGTATTCTAGATCCTTCAAGATAGCTAAAAAAAGAATGAGAAGCTAAAATTAGAGTATTTTCCATTGACGTCGGTTACATGCTCATTGAGAGCTCAAAAGACAATCACCAATTACCAATATGATTCTGAGTACTTGGAAAAAACAGAATGCGTCAATAAGGGAATTCTGGAGATGACTTTTTTGGGAAAAATTACATTTCCGAAAACATAAATGAGTCAAGATACGAATTGAACTGAATAGCTGATTAACGTTACCAAGAGATTCAGCCGAAAAATAGCTCGGCAGTTTGACCAGACTCTTTTTTTGCTGTCAAAATTTTGAAATTACATGAAAACTTGATATTTAGAAAACTCGAATTTTGACAAAAATCTGTCGACAGAATGAAACCCCCGTAAAGTTTGACAAAGAAACTTAAATTTTCAAAACTCTAGCTTAAAGCATCGTAAGATATAGTGTATGGTACGCAAACACTGTAGTCACGTATCGTACACCAAGCCTTACGACGATTCCCCAAAATTCTCTAGAAAGTTGGATTCAGGGGTAAAATCATACGGGAAATTCAGAGGTACCATTATTTTTAGCATGCAACATGCCCAAGAAAAGGCCTCTAGACCAAAACTCGCCAGAAAAAATCCTATAAGTGAAACAACAGCAAAAAATTGAGTGTGCCTTCTGACACTTCTCTTACTTTTTTCTCTTTCCCTTACTCTCAAAAAAAGTAAAAGAAGCAAAAAAGGGAATAGTTAACTAGTTACTTACACATACAAACACACTCTCTACAACGAACAGAAGAGAGAAGAATTTCAAGAGTTTTTTTCCTATTCTTTTTTCATTATTTCCTTTTTTTTTCTGAACAAATACAAAAAGGGCTGTCACACCACACAATAACAAGAAAGCACAAATTTGAAAGTCGAATTTTCAGACAAAAATAATGTCACCCTCGAATTTATCGTATGATTTTACACCGGAAAAGATTTTTCTAGAGAATTCTAGTGAATTATCGTGAGGTGTGGTGTACTGTACGTGGCTACAGTGTTTGCGTACTATGTACTATATCTTACGGCACTTTTTGAAAATTTGGGTTTTTCGTCAAAAATTCGAATTTTCTAGAATGCAAATTTTTATGTGAAAATTTGAAAGGAAAAAAAAGCTAAAACTTAACGACATCTCAAAAAACTGACAAAGTACGTGCCAAAGTAAAATGCCAAAAAATATGAATATTCTACTGACGAAGCTAATTTTTGGAGGATGGGCAAGAAAGAAAGTGGATCAATTTTTTTTCAAAACGAAAAATAAAAGAAGTTTCTAGAAAGAAAAAAAGAAAATGACGACGGCGTCTTGTTAGGAGAAAGACACGGAAATGACATATTTCCGATACCCCCTAGATATGTGTCTTAATCTAACGGATTATAAACTTTGGAATTAGAAAAAAAGTTTAGAAAATTTGCTAATCTTCAAAAATGGGAAAATTGCTTTAGAAGACTTGAAAATGCTTTAAAACGAAATGCCTAAAATTTATATGACTAGTACAAAAAAAGTGAGTCATTATTTGACTAGACAAAGACTACAAAACCAAATTTTTAAAAAAGGCGAAATCCAAATCTTGGCTTCCCTTAGAACTAAAATTATTGTCATCCATCATAATTTTACTCTCCTTTCTCCAGAAGTCACATCTGTGTAGCTCCCAGGAAAAGGAGAGCAAAAAGTGAAAGTGATCGAAAATGGGGAAATGGGTGGAAAATGTGAAATAGAAAGTACACACCACATATAATTATACACTCGATATCTCATTTTTATCCAAAGAAAAAGTGCCCGGAGGGGGGATGGTGTTGAGAAAGTGAATAATATTCTCAAATAATGATGCGTCAGTGTAGTTACTTCGTTAGAAAAAAAAGAGAAATTTCTCTGAAAAAACATGGGTGGTATAGGGAAGTAGAAGTGAGAAGAAACCCAAGACGAACAGAAGAGAAGGAAAAAGTGAAAAATATGGAAAAGAACAAAGAGAAGTCGTGTAAAAGATGAGATGATGATGGTCTTGCCGGTCTTCTGAATAGTTTTTTCAGAAGAAGCAAAAGTTAGTCTTTAAAAAAAAGAGAGAAATTTGCATTTACTACTTTTGATTCAGAATATTCTAGTCAGAATTCCTCCCGCTCAAAAGTTCCAACTGTTTCAAAAAATCGTGAATCTTAACAGTTTCGGAAAGCTTGAAGTGTACTAGGATTCAGAATAATAAAGACGAAATTTTCAACATTTTCAAAGAAAAACACAGAACCCTAAAAAGTCATATTTTTGACTTTTCAATGGAAAATAGTCAAATGTAGCTCAGAAGTAGCTCAGAATTTATCAATTTTGCTGAAAATTTCAGAGATGAATAAACAAAAGTAGAGCTTTAATTTTGTAGTTGACAAATTCTTCGTGCAAACGCGCCCTAATGAGATATGGTGCATAGAAGCGTCCCCCCAAGAAGGAGGGAATCGGCTGGGCGGGCACACCACTTCCACGTGGCATATCTCTTTAGAGCACGTTTGTACAAAAAAGTCAGTAATTACAAAAATGGAGCTCTATTTTTGTTTAGTTAGCTCTCAATTTTTCAGACAAATCAAAAAATTCTGGAATGTTTTTCTAATAATTCAAAGTTGAGTGAAGAAATTTGGATTTTTCACTTTCAATTTTAAACTTTGAGTCCCCCAAGTCAAAAATTCAAACTTCTAGCTCAAAATGCCGTCAGATTTTCACACAAAAACGATGCACCGTGTTTGCGTACCGTACATCGTATCACACGAATTTGAGGACCAATTGAACACCGCCCACCAAAAAAAGGAATCTAAAATCAAAATTCAATGAGGAAGAAGAAAAGTGTCAAATTCCTTTTTTTTTCACCCCCACAAAATTCCCCTCTCATTCTCTGTATTCTCT